GAAAAAATGAATTACCTGAGACTCCTGTCTTTGAAAAGGACCTTCTGAACTAGCCACCTCCTAAATCTAAGTTTCAAGGCATCTTTCAAAGCCTCATTCTGATCTCTGCTGAGAAATCTCAAACTGTGTAAGCCTTGGGACCTGAAGACTGTCATTAAATCCACACAATGTCATTCTCCACGTGGAATTCTCTACCCTTCTATAAATATAAGTATAGATTGCAAAACCTGTTTTTTTCTCTTTCAGCTCCCTAAGATTTATTCAACTTTTATGAGAAATTGGGTGCATTTTGCTTTTTTAAAAATCTAACCCATTGTTGGTGCTAATTGTCATCAGTTGCTTTGGAAAGTGATTTAGTTGCTGGGAAAGACTGCCACCATTTTGTCAAAGTGTAAACAGGCACTGGGGCTCCTCTAGAATAAAGGATTGGAGCACCCTGGAAAACTATGGAGGTAAAGAAATTTTAGCTCCTGGCTGGCAAAACCAACAGAGATTTGTGTGAGGTTGAATCTCTGACTTATTGTTACCTTCAAGGAAGATGCCAGCAATGTCAACTTCACTAGTATTGGCTAATTAACATAGTATAGAAAATCAGCAGAAGGAAATCCTTACAGGGTGTTAAGAACTGTCTGGAGTCCATGAAATTGGATAAGAAATATAAACCAGGATTCAAGTTTGTTATACTAGTTAGCTACTTTCCTTATTTTATTTTAGTATGTGACATTGCTCTAGATTTTGATGGGATCCTAATGGAGAAAGCACAAAGAAGAATATAGAAATATGGTGGTCCTTAACTCTGTTTTTTATCCTTAATATAATGTTCTTACAGTAATATTCTAATGATTATTCTCTATATGGTACTTTATCAAATGAAATCTGACTGGGGAAGCTGCTCTCTGTGGGAAATCTTTTCTGAAGCTTAAAATAAAGAGAAATAATTGAGGTGAGTAGCAGAATTCATGCTATTACATGGATTTGATATTTCTCTTGTTACCCAAATCTGTCAACCAAATGGTGTTTCCTGAGGCTTCTTTGTTTTGACTGGTAGAACTGGGACAAATTAAGAGAAACTAGGGCCACTTATTTACTATAAAAGTTTGTCAGCTCACATTTGTGGTAGTTTAATTTTGGGTTTTTTTTCAGTTAAAGAGAATACATGGGGTATGATTGCCTCACATTTGACACTCCTGTAGAGAACAGGGGCAATCACTGTGGTGCAGGCTTGTCAGAGCTTTACCTTAGGATGCTGCTGTCTGTTACTGCAGTTCTGCTCAGAGAGGGCAGCAAAGGATTGCAGATCTTCTGGAATCCAAAAGGAGTTCAGCTCTGAGATATAATATTGAGGAGAAATGCATCTTTTTAATATATGAAGTCTGAAAGGAGAAATAGGGGAGGCATTTGGATCATTGCTGCTCAAACACCCTTGAGCTTTTTGTCCTTTAAGATGTGGGTGTAAGCAATTAGTGGAGATACTAATAAGAGAAGCACTTAATCACTTGGAGCTTAGGCACTACCTGATGGGTGTGAAGAGTTCCAGCAGAAACACAATGAGCTGTTGAGGATTCAACTGGAATATTGTATGACTCATTTGGCACGAAGGTAAATGCTGTAAATTTAGACATATAATGAACAAAACACTGAAATTAATTTGTAGCACGGTGAGATTAATGACTGCTGTGATATTAGGGATTTTCATTAGACCTCAAGACTTTCAGACTGTTATAAGCTTGGTTGTCTCTTTTCAGGTTTCAGTATGTACAACCAGGGTACATGAAATGCTCAGACACTATTCCTTTTGCCTGAAGGCAGGAGTGTATTTCCCAGGTAACACCTCAAAATTATGCAAATGGAGAAATTTATTAAATGACTCTGATTTGTCACTGATCTGAGGACTTAACAATGATTCTTATTTATCCTTTCAGTGCCTTGGCTTTCACTGCTAACAGTAAGAAGTTCAGTTAGAACAGAAAAACCTGAAAAGAAAATTTATTGCTGCCCAGAAGTTCAGTGCAGTGCTCCTGCAGCCAAGAGGATGCTCCTCCATCCTATCAGCTAGAGATGGTCCCAAAGGTGCAAAGGGTGAACAGGTACAGAGCTATGATCATTTAGCAATATTGTAATTTTGACACTCTTTATCATCCCTTAACTCTTGTTTCATGCCTCCTTCAATCTTTCATTTTGTTTTTTTTTTACTTCTCATTCTTTACTTTTTCTTCTGCCCCATTAGCCTTTTGTAGGTTCTGCACAATTTCAGGAAGCTGAACATGCTTTCTGCATTTATAATGCTACTCTAGATATTTGGCTTTTAATAAATAAAAAAAAATAATGTGATACATTTTCAGAGCAGCTCATAAAATAGAGATGTAATGAGATTTTAATCTGATTGTACCATTTGTACTCCGAATCACTTCCTATTATATCCTACTAAATTATTACTGCTCTTTCTTTCCAGGGGCCAGCTCTCAAAACCAGAAATCATGCTTGCTAGAGTTGCCTCCTAATCTGATGGCCATAACTTGATTGCTTCATATTTTCTATGCCCCAAGAGCAGAATTCCCCTAAGGTATGATTTGTCAGGTAACTTTTTCATGCTCTGCTGCAAACAGCAAATGGATCCACAGATGTTTTCTGTCACATGGCAGAAACAAGTCACACTCTCTCCCAAGGCGCCAAATCAGTGTCTGCCCAAACTCTTAATAAGTACATATGAAATTGTATCTTTTCTTACCATATCTCATCTGTGTTATCATGTATACCACCCACCTTGGAATTAGATGCTTGTTTTCCATCCACAAAGAAAGTCTCAACATTTTCACTTTATATGAACTATGACATAAAATGTCAGAGGCACACATTGATATTGTGTGTAGATATTTTCTGGTCCACATACTCCTCGGTGTGTCCTCTGCAATCCCATGACTGAAATAAGTAAAGCCAGCAGTGTCTTTCAACAAACTGCTTCAGAGAGGAGTCCTTGATAATGCTGCAATTTAGCTCATTTTCTAGATCATATACTGTGATGTGTGATTGGGTTACAGCTGAACTAGATTGGCTTTCTGGTTTAAGAGGATGTGTGCCTCTGCAACAACATGAGGGCATTTATTTCACTGGATTTTCAGTGCCATAAGTAGGGGTACTAAAGGATTTTTCTTCAAAGTAATGCATTTCCTAGCAAATGAAGCTTTCCATGGGAATAATTTGATTCTCTCAAGTTTTTGTTTTCCTGGGGGTGGGCAGGTGGAAGAGCAAGGAGGGAGGAGTCAGTATTTGGTGCTCTCTCAAAACACTAAGACAACATAGTGGGAGAAAAATTTAGGAAATACTTGAACAATTTTTAATTTTAAATTAAATTCTAGGAGAAGAATCAAGAGTCCTGTAGAGTTTCCCTGGAAAAGTGAGACCATCATGGATAAAAGAATCTTTAGAGACAGAAGAAGAAAGAGGAAGAAAAGTAGAATGTGGAAGTAAGAAATATATTTCTCATTATTCTATGCGTCTGATTTTCTGGTTTTAGCATATTCTCCAAAAAATATTTGTGTGAGTGTCTGGTATTCCTATAGCACCATTTCAGGAAAGGTGTGATTTCCAGAAGTGTGAGGAGCAGAAAAGTAAACCATCTGTTAGATAGGAGATGAGTTGCCCAACAGAACTGGAGGAAGAAAGTGTCTGGAATGAGTCACTAGCTTGTTGTTGTCTGGGAGTGAAATATCAAGCCCTCTATCTCATGTTATAAACACCGTTTTTTCTTCTCTCATTCTTTGTCTGTTCATGTGTTTTTTACTCCAACTTTAATGAATTTTAAAATGTTCACATGTGTGTTTTGCCTCTGAGAACTGGGCTTTTCCCACTGAACAGAAGATGACTTTGGCAGCCCTGAGAATTCAAAGCCTATCCAAGTGTTCACTTTGGTCAGGGCTAAGGCTCTCCCAGCTGGACAAATTCCCTATCAAATCTGCAGTGTGGCCTGTGATTTCTGCTCTGGAAACCAAAGACCTCTTTCACATGGCATCACATTACAGGAGAGCTGAGCATCTTGGAGACAGGTGTTGTGCAGTCATTTTAATAGAAATTATTAAATAACAGCCTTGAGTCACACTTATAGTGACTGATGACTTGCAGAGACAAGTAACTGCTATGGAAACAAAAGCACAGGTTTTGGAGGCTGAATTAAATAGACACAAAAATGGTAAATTATCAGCCTGGTAATATGATGGAAGTGCTTGTGCTGTGCCCCTAAAAGGGGCCTGGAATATCCAGAAACAGGGTGTATTTATAATTGTTCTCTCTTTGACATTCAGTTTTGAATCTCCTAGTAAAATATGGATTTCATCTCTTCAGTCCTTATGTATTAAAATGTGTTTATACCAGTGGTATAAGGGTAATAAGTTATGGCATGCTCATGGCATGCCTGAGTTACTCATAAATGCAGCGTGAGGGAAGCATTTTTTAATAATCTTGAAACTAATGAAAACTTTGTCTCTATTTCATCTTTGAGCTGAGCTGTAAACTTGGGGAGATTACTGTCTAACAGCTGCTTCTGATACATTCTTTTATGATGTAAATAATGGACAGCACATACAGTCCTATGTTTCTTCAGTATTTAGTGATGCCTTTGCTCCTGGGGCACTTTTATTCTAGTTCTGAAATTGACTGATAATGATCACTTAGAGCCTAGAGTGGTATTTATCCTCTGAGTACAGAAGTCCACTGCAGTAGCTACTGACATGAAAATAATTTCTTTTTTTGAAGTTTGAGCTATTTTCATGCTGCTCTTCCCATGTGATTGGAAAATGAATTGTGCTGTAACTTCAAAGAGGAATAAAACAGTAAACCAGTCAGCCAAGTTGCTTTGTGTGCAGTAGAAAATCATGAGAAGAGAACAAGATGATGTTTTCTGGCAATCTGTAGGCATTAGCTGAGGTACAGGAGATATAAATCAAGATTTAGATGCAGTGGAAAGCAGAATTTTTTTTTGTCTTAAATTAAATACAAAAGCCTGCTACTGAAAGGTTCTCCAAGTGGAATTTAGCTCATGCAGAAAAAAAAAAAGCAAAAGGCCCTGTGTATGTGATAGGTCCTTAATGTGAGAGAAGTGGTCCTACAGGCTTTTATGATTTTCTTAATGGGAGCTTCTTTCACCTCAAGTGAACTACAAAAACACAATTACAGCCCAGTATTACAAGTTTGACAATTAAGAAAAATGTTTCCATTGAAGGCTCTAAGTGTTTAACCATGGAGGAACAGATTTTCAATTTGTCTTCCACTTAGTTGAAGACTAAGCTAAGTGCCTCTACAGAGAGAAGGATTGTGGCTGCACTGGCAAGTTATGGACCCATGGGAGCTTGGGAATGTGTCTGTACAGAGGAGCATTTGATGCCCAGCTCATCTGTTTTATAGCTGTTATTTTCATTGCCTTATTCCCTGTCTACCTTTATAAGTAATGACATTTATTTTCTCTGCACCAGGTTATACAGGTACAGCAAAAAAGCAATTACTGAAATTGATAAAGGATATGAATTTTCCAGAGTATGATTTATCTGCTGATCTGCTTCATGCACTCCTTGTCATTACTGGCAAAGTATCTTTGCAGTTCTCAAGTGAACTGCATTCCTTTTCTGCATTAATTGGTGTTCTGCAGCTAGAAAAACAGAATATTTAAAATTTTGCCTGTAAGTTTTTAATCAATAATTGCGACCTAAAAGCACAAGAACTGGTGCAATATTTAAAAGATATATTTGGGTTTAGGGATCAGAGATAATTCAGTCTCCAATGCAGTCGTTGGAATGATTATGTAAGTTCATTTTGAGACTGTCTCTAAAACCCACTCTGGAATGTTTTGAGACCATTTCATCTGGAGCTGGACTAAGAGCAGTGATTTGTCCCCAGTGCATCAGCCAGTAGGTTGCAATGACTACACTACTGATTTGAAAACAAAAAGAACCTAGAGTAGTATTTTGAAGATATGAATGGCTGTTTTCTTTCAACTGTTTTTTGGGTTTTATTCTTGTGGGGTTTTTTGTTTGTTTGTTTTTTCTCCTTTTTTTTTTTTTTTTTGAGATACTATTCCTGATTGCCCTATCAGCAACTTTCTCAAGAGTTCTGCTCTGAAGTGTAATTTAGACTGATTTTTACATTTTTTTTCCCAGCAAAACTCCAATAGGGTTGAGAAATTTATGAAGCTTCTTGAAAATTATGAAGCACTGTCCTTCATTCAAATGGGATCTATATAAACCACAAAATGGTTTGTAGGTAAGTGCAAAAATATTCTTATGCTAAACACATTGGAAGCCTGCAAAAGCAGCATGGGAAAACATTCCTATTGTATGCTCAGTTTCCTATGGCCCAAAGTTATCAGATAATTAACTTTTTAACCAGGCTGTGCACAGGAAAGGCATATTTGGCTCCAGCAAGGATTGGGTCCATAGAAAATCTGAGCTGCACTGTAAATGGGTTAAATGTAAATGGGCTGCACCACCTAATTAGTGGCTTCTCTTCATTTTCTTCTGCCTTCACTCAGAGTCAGGATTGAAAACACGAAGGAGATGAATTTTCTCGTTTGGACTTGGTTGTTTATTAAATCTTATCTGAAGTACAGAGAGTTCTGCAACACTTCTAGCTACCAGCTAAAAGTGAGCAGAATGGAGAGTGAATCTAACTAGTTACAAGGTTTTTAAAAGCTAAACAATCCAATAGAGAATTCATACCTATATTATTTATACTTTTGACCCAATAACCAAACTCCTGTGACCCACAGTGTAGTACTTACTAACTGTCCAACCACAAACTACTATCTGAAAGCATAAAGAAGGAAGAAGACAGAGGGAGATAACACCCAAACACCTCCATCTTGTCCCATACCTATTACTATATCCTAAAACCCTCAAATTCAAAACCCTTCACCATGTGCAATCACACACTTCTATTTCACTACACACCAGTGATTCTAACTCCATCACTCAAATTTGGAAGCTTTCTCCAAGGCCTCAGGTCAAAAGCAGTGTTCCCCTGGGGGTCAGTGTCAGAAAGCACAGAAAGCTCAAAATTCCCAGGCTTCAGGGTTCCAACAGTGCACTTGAAATAAACTCCCAGTCCTTAAGCTTTTAGGTTCCACTCTGGTGTCACTTCTCGTTTCCAGCATTTCCTGCCCTGTAGGTTTACCCTGGTGTAAACCATCTCCAGGGAAATGCTCCTCCAGCTGTAACACCTCCTGTGCAGAAAGAGAAAACCAAACTGCTCTTGATGACCCTGGTGAAAATCCATCTTTGCTGGAGTTGCCCTGGAAAAGCAGCTGTGCAAGTGCAAGTGTAGCTCGGTTAGTCTGAGCTTACCTGGTAAACTCTCCTGTCCTGAATCAGTGCTCAGAGGAACAGAATAGTGATGCTGGAGTCTGACAGCTTGGAGCACCATTGTGTGGGAGCAGGCTGATCTCAGGCTGGACAAAAGTCCACAGGGCGGGAATCACACCTAGAAATAGAAAATGAGCTCTTACTAAGTTATATTACTTGAAACTTTTAAATTCAGCAGGGTGTTATCAGATGTGCCTGAAGTTCTGACCTTTTTCATCATTTATGTTAGAGACACCTTTTCATCCTTGAGGAACACCTTTCTTCAGTAGGTGCTAAAAACAAGGAGTTTGAATTTGTGGTCTATTATCTTCTAGGAGGCTTAAATCAGCATCACTGCAACCACTTAATTTTGCACTAATTATAAACTAATCTGTTATATCCCTGATTAGAACCAACTCATACAGTGCTAATATGACCTCCACAGAGCTTCTAGAGTAATTCAGGTTAAAAGCAGCATTTATTAATCAGCTGCTGGGTTTATCTTTCTAAAACACAATTGCAGGTTAAGTACAGGCTCAGGAAGAGCTATCCTGTCACATGTGAAAAAAAGCACAATCATTGAAAAGCTCTTTTCATTCTCTTTAGTTTTCAAGTGGCAATTTTCAGTGGAAACTACAAGGTGCGAACAGGAAGCCAATCAGTAGCAACTCATACTTACTGCTTTATTTTTTACTTACAACACATAAATATGGGGGAGTAGGTGATTAATATATAGTTAGAGCAGAGGACAAGTGTGTTATTTGTTGTGGCTTGTTTTCTGTTGTGAAGGCATCAGACTCTTCAGTTTAAACATGCAGAGAAGAAGCTTTATGTAGGGGTCTGTGACTTTAGCACTACCAAATGGCTCTACTCTGTTGCTTAGCACCTGTAGACCTAAGGAGTGAAAAATGGTTCCTGGGTTGCAGTTTGGCCAAAAATGCTCAGGGGAATAAATAATGCAAGATTGCTGGAAACCTAGGCACAGTCTTGTATCTCTTTTAAGCTCTGGTAAACTCAACACTAGCAGCATGACTGGATACTCTGTGCTCTCTCTAGCACAAATTACTTTTTCCCGAGGCACCTGCAGTTAAAATGTCTTTTTATGGCCTGTGACCCCAGTGAAGATCCAGACATCAGTAGCTTGAGCTGTTTAGATCAGTGCTTCAGGGCAGACAGTGGTAAGAGCTTTTTCCTGGCTTTCTGTGAGCTCTGATTTGTTTATGACTTCAGCTAGTGGCACAGTTTGTCCCTCAGAGCTGAGCTCGTGTGTTAATCCTGCAAGAAACTTCTGGCATATTTGCAGTGGGAGGAAGACTCTACAGTGTCCAACTGGTTGGCATCCTCTTCCAAGGTGTTTAAATTCAGATAAAATTTCAAGCAGAATGTGAGAGTAGCTGTCCAGCCACATTTAGGTGTCTGATTTCAGAGTCTGAGGCTGCTATGTTGGGCTTCATGCAAACAGACCTGCACCAGCTCAGCAGTGCCTGAATTTCAGTGTTTCATTGTACCTGTCCTTGCCAGGCTTACCTGGGAGAATCCTGAACAGAATCTTTTCCCCTTCCTCCCACCTGCATGGTTGTGCTACAACACTTGGCCACCTTTGCCTTGTGTTTCTGCTATGTAGGAAAAAAGTTCTATGCAGATTTGCATCCTGCCCCAAGAATTATACTCAAGCACATTTATAATTCAAAGTTTTCCTTTGATGTCAGACAAGCTAAACCATACAAGCTTCTTTAGCTGAGATGGACACAGAGTTTCACCCAATTTAGTTGGAAAGCCTGAAACCTCTTCAGCAAAATCATAATGTCTGTAATTAGTTATTCTCTTGATTATCTCCCGTCTTGCACTTTACATATCCAGTGACACCTCTGTAAAGGTGTCCCATTCAGAAGTGGTTTGATCAGTACTACACTGCCTACAGATCACAAGCTTTTAACTTCTCTATCCCCTTACACCCTGTCTACCCTGCCTAACCAACCATACACATTCACAGAAGCATGGTCGAGACAGGAGACACTGATGTACTTTTGAAATCCTTTTACCTCTTCACCTTTTTATTCTAGAGCTGCAGCTAAAATGGAAAAAGGGGTGTATTTATGGTGCTTCCTAAGCCTGCTAAGTACATCTTTTATTTATGCATGAAAAACTAGTGGAGCAAAGATTATCTTGAAGCTTCTGGTTGTCCTCTACGGGCTGTTATTTTCCACTACATGGCATTTAGCTTCGAGCTGCAATTGCTACCCTCTGGACAATGTCATCACTCATTTTCATGAGTGAGGTGCATTTCCAGCTTTCATGACTGATGGTGAAAAGCCTTTCAATGGAAAAGTTCTACAAGCAAAATTACAACGTTCGTTTCTTTATAACATCATGTTTTAAATTCTATCTTAAAGCAAAACCTGTATTCTTAATTAAGTGGGGATTAAGTGTTGGCAAAAATATGGCAGGACTGGATGACAAGAAAAGTTTTCAGCTCCTCACACAATAGTAGTTATAAAAGCTATTTGGGAAATATTTCAAATGTGTCTACAGTGTTTAGTGTATGTTACAAATCTCTTCGCTGAAAATTGTATATTACCCTTTGTCTTGAGTTGCTGGGAGCTCTCCAGTGGTTTTGAATGTTGCAGTCCTACAGTTTATTTTTGTCAAATACTCTCAAAATATTTCTGAATTTGATCTTTATTCTGGCAAACTGTGTGAGTTGTTGATAACATAATAGTTTACATCATTTATCTCTGTAACAGTCATAGGAAAGGTAAAAAAATCATAAAAGTTGGCAGGTATTAAACAGTTGGGCCCCATTTGTGTGGGAAAATAGATGCTTCAGAAATGCAATGTACTACTGGCATGGTGATACTGGTACCAAAACATTTAGGGGCACAGTTGTTCTCCAGGTTTTGAAAAAACCTTATCTAAAAAACTTCAAAAATTTATAAGTTAATACTTAAAATCACTTCATCTTTAGAGGACTGTCCATGGGAACAATGGCAATGGCCTGACCTTGTGAAAGAGGCACTCTGTTGTACCCAGCAGGCTGGGCTGTGCACAGGCCTGAACACAGGCACAGCTGGGGAAAACCTCTTTTCTAGCTTGGGTCCCTGAGATGGTCTGGTAAGGCAGAGAAACAATGAGGCTACTTGAAAAAGAAGCATGGTTGAAGAGTTCTTGTGTAGATTTCCACTCCAGGGAAACAAGTATGTTCCTGTCTGCCTAGAAGGAGTCCTCAAATCCAAGTAGAGTGGCAAAACTAATTTATAAATAAATATAATGAATACTTTCATTATACTGTAAAAGGTATATCTTATATTAGAATAAGTAGCTGAAATGTTTATTAATAATTGTGTTGAATTTCTCTTGTCTTACTAACAAAAATAGTGTTTCATCTTCAAAACTACATATAAAGCTACTATAAAGGCTGTAAGGGGCTGACCCCTATGGAATAACAAAATTATATTTTATTAGTTAAGTAGTTGACATTCATGGTTATTACATTATTCAGAGTTATTAAACATTCTTTTTGATTTGTCATTCAAGTTAAGTCTGCTGTGTTTTAATAACCTACTAAACAATTGCAGTTTGAATCATTTTGGCCTCAAGCAACATTCAGGATCTTCCCATCTCTTGAGAGAGAATCTGAGGGTGTAGAACTCTCTTCATTCCCTTTGTTTTCTTTCTATTTCTTTGAGTCTTCATCCATTCCTTGTTTTTATCTATTAGATGAACTTCAAGGAGCTTTAGATAGTGCTTTTCTCGTTTACCCTTGCAGGAGCCTCCCAAGAATATTTCTGCACCAAAGCCTCTGCCATAGCTGCACCTTACGTAGTTTCTGTCAGCTGAGGAGCATCAATAAAAGGTGAGGAGAGGAATCTGCTTCCTGGGGCCCTTAGAGCCTTTCCTTTGCATTTCAGCACCACTGGTTCCTGCTGCCTGAGCCCCCAGCCCGGGCACTCAGAGCTGCTGCCCTGGGGCAGAACCACAGAACCACCAGGTGGGATTGCAGCAGCTGGGGGGATGCAGGGCTGGGCTTCACCAACCCATCAGGGGAAATGAACTGATGAGATACTTCACTAGCTGTCTGCTATAAAATGCTCCTCTGCCTTTGCAGAATTAGAATCTGCAAAAGAAGCAGACTCAGTGTGTTAAGCTCTGCGTGCTTCCAACAACACGATCAGCTAAAACACAGAGAATTTTGTGTTCACTCTCCTGAAAAAATCTGTGAAAAATTGAATTCTCTAATACCTGTTGTCTTAATTTTTAGCTTATAGCAGCAATAAAAACCACAATAGGTGGTGCTTGCTGGGAATCCATTAATGGCTGTGTCCCTTCAGTAAAATACAAAGTAGCATCATTTCACTGTGATCATCAGACCTTAACAGCACCTTGGTGAGTTTATTATTTTCCTTTGCTACTCCATATTTTCTGCCATGTGTTTTCAACAAGTTTCTCCCAAGGACTTTGAATTTCAATTGCAAATAAAACATTGGCAATGCTTCGGATACATGTGTTCTAACACTTATCAGTGAGACATTGCACAGCCATTTCCCAGCAATAACAACATAATAAGAGCTTGGCAGGACTTTTTTCTATCAGCAGGCTAGATTATTTTAAATTGATAACAAGAGCCAGGTGGCTATTTATAAGTGCAAAATATGAATTGCAAGCACATGTTTCCAAGGCAATGCTGGCCAGTGGCTGTTCAAGCATAAATTGCTTCCTGTTACCACTTTGGATGGGAGGAGAATGATCCAGTTCATCTCCATGGGAACACAAAGTGGTAGGACACCTCCAGCATTACTCTTTGCACTGTTTCCAGTAAAAGAAGGCAATATTTACTCCACTGTGACACACCTGATTGGCATTGCAGTGAGTAATTTCACTGTGTTGTTGCACAAAGGTTGGGAATCATGTCCCATACTGTTCTGTAGAATCCCTGTAAGAGTATTTTTGGTGCAGAAGATGCAGGGAGGAATTAGAGTTGGTAATGTGTCTTGCAGGGTACAAAGGAGAATTAATGATCTGAGGGAAAAAGCCAGGATTCCTCAGTGATCCTAGGAACACCATCTCTCTAAACCTTTGTTATTCTGGCTCTGAAACAGGCAAGACACAGAGTTGAAAACATCACTAGGTTGTGAATTTAACTTGCAAGTTCTTTGGCAGTAGAGAACCATGACTTTAAAAAAAACCTGAAAACCTTGTCACCTCTTTTCTTGATAGCAAAGTTTGAATTGCTTTTCCTAGAATGGAAAATTGACAGATTGAAAGGGATATGGGGTCTGCTTGAAGCCATTTTTAAAATTGTTTTCTTCTTTTTTTCTTTTATTTTCCTTTTTTAATTTTTTATTATTTTTGTCTTAAACTTATGCTTTCTGTACTTTGGAAGAACAAGGCTATGTAAGGCCTGTTCAGTTAATTCTGGTGAATCCAGCTCTTTAAAATCCAATGCTCCAAGCTCTGTTCCCCATCTTTGCTGTCCTCTTTTTGGAAACTCATGATCTGTATTCAGTATTCCTTCTTTTTCTCCATCCATCTGTGTACACTTAAACATAGCAATCTTCCTGGGATCTACTCCCCAAAATTACAGTGTATTATTGAGCTGACAGCATTTCTCTGATTCCATATTTTTTCATAAGCATAAACATGTTTCATCAGCAATTGCACTCTTCCTGTAAGATGTTTATCCTCAAGTTAAGGTCTAGGGCACACACAGCAGAATTTTCTTTCAGTATTAGCACTCTGGTAAAGTGCCACTGCCTACATTTTTTCCTCCCATTCCTGCATCAGTGCACTGTAAATTAGCATACAAACTATTTTATCAGTGTTTCTTATTTTCCAAAGGCGGGGGACTGTTGAACTTCCCATATTTTTGTTTGGTTTTGTGTCAGTAAAATTAAATTGCAGGTGGAGAGGAGGTAACACCTCACCTACTGGATTGTTTCATGACCTAAGAGGTGACATATGTTTAGTGCCCTGTATTTCTGAAAAAGTCTTAAGCTGATGTCAATAAGCACTCTTAAAACTACCTATAGATGCTTAACTCTGTATGAGTTATAGCTCAGCAGATAAATTTCAGGGGAAATACTGGACAAATATAAAAAATGACTGTTGTTTGGAAAGAGGTAAACATGGAGAGTTGGCCACACCTGCTTACCACACAGATGCTGTGCCAAGGACTCTCTCAGAGAGTCAGTAACAGGAACTTGCAGCACAGTGACACACTTTAAATTATTGTCTCACAAATTGCCAATATAAACTAGCATGGCTATACATCATTATTTTATGTGGAAGAGCATGGCATAGCTTTACATAGATCAGGATATGATAACTTATCATAATCCATAATCAGCTCTCTTCAAAAGAGCAAAATGAGTTTACCTTGTGTTCTGAACATGACAGGCTTGAAAGCTGTATAAAATTAGTTCTGGTTCTGAAACCTCCTTGGCAGTTAGTTTTTTGAAAGAAGAAGTCTTTTTGGCTACATGATATCTTAAAATTCAGATTCCTTTTTTCCTCCAAGTTCCCCTTTGCTGATAGTTGAGCAGGGTTTAGGTTTAATTCACTGGCAGCGAAGCATATTTAATATTCTTATGGTTCTTCCTAATGATAGAAAGAGGCGTGCAGTGCCTGGGGTCCACTGAAACCAGTAAAGTTCCCTGGCTCAGTTTTGTGGGTGTTTCCCTGCTAAAGACCTTCAGGTTTTACCTGCAAATTTCAGAATTCCAGTCCTTGTAGAATTCCCATCCTTCCCTATTCTACAGGGATGCTAGGTTGCAGAAAAAATATTTACTTTCTTTCTTCCTTGTTTGACTATGTTTGTTTTCCTTCATTCTCTGCTGCATAACTGAGCAAAGTAAATCTAATGACTAAGTAATCTCTCACTCTGGATTATGTTTTAGGTTTCTTATCAGATTCCATTGTGTAGGTATGATCTGACTCATGGGAGAACAATTGTTAAATGTATCTTTCTTCAAAAGTTTTGGTAAAAGATAATAATTGATAAGGTTTTCTGGGATCATAAGCCATGTTTTGCTCATACCACACTTTCATAAATGGAGCTTTACTGGTCTCCCTGTTTAATGTTTTCAATTCTTTAATTTTTTATAATATAAACTGTGTTAAGTGGAAGAAATAGTACAAATCTGCAGAGACTTATCATGTTCATGTATTAGAGCTGCATGACATGCAATGATGGAGCAGAAAAATGAGCCCTTACAACTGTCACAGAGTTGCCTGGAAATTGGATCTGTATGAGATTCTGTTCTGGTAACATTCCCAAGGACTTGGGCACCTAGTAATTTAAAATATTGCCTCTCAAAATCTGGATCCATTAAGTTCCATTTTATTCTGGAATTGAAGAAATTTCCTATGTACCCCAGAGATCTGCTACCCTCCAGAAACAGAATTACCTGTGCCTTTGACTGTGCTCAATTGTCTGGTATCTGTGTTATTTCTAGACTGCAACAGGAATTGGAAAAATCATTTTATCTGTTGGGTAATGTCTAATCCACATATCATGCACTCAACACCACTTTTTTGCATCTACCTCATCTGGACTACAAAGAGAAATAGTTTCCATTGGTGGGGTGAGAGGTTTTGAAGAAGGACTAATCTGCATTCATGCCTCTGCTCCCATCTGGTAGAGGAAGGACTTTGAAGGCAGATTGTCTGTAGGATACATTTGTGAGTGTTAACTGGTCATTTGCTAAGAAGGACACCTGATATGTCCTCAGTTTGTTTTTTATGGGGGTTTTTGAGATACAGAGAAGGCCATGCTGGGAACTTTTAACTGCAGGACAGGACTCACAGCTGTGAATGGAATTGGATTTAAGTGCCTGCACTACACCTAAGGGGAACCCTAAATGTACCTTCTGCTTTGGCATTTGATCTTGGCTAGGTCAGCCAGCTGATATTAAACATCTCTAATTGCTGAACAGGGAGCCTAAAGATGTTGGCTTGCAGCTGTGAATCCTGCTGGAATTATTCAGAAAGAATAACACTATTATTAAGGATGATGACAAAATTTAAATAGTTTTAGTAAAATGCAAATTAAAAATAGAAAACATCCTATCCTTAAGAGACCACAGTATAAACTGACAAAACAGAGAAAAGCTGTGAAGCTGAAGTATTTCTCAGGTGAGGCACTGATGTGTTGGCTTGCTGAGGTTTATGAAGCAAAACTCATCTAGGATCAAACATTCTAGAGTAGAAAGCATCAGAATCAGAAGTTACAAAATCCCAATATTTATTTCTGGGAAAGAAAAGGAACAAAACCTCTGGTTTCTTTTTTTTTTTTCTTGAGAAGGATGTCCATTTGAGAATTTTCTGCATGTGTACAGATTTTTTCCAAGTTCCATCTCTGACCAAGAGAAGATCAGCTGTCTTGTATGTGCAAGAGAGAGCAGAAGCTCATGGAAACACTGAGCAGTCTAGCACATAGCTAGAAAATTATATTAAGGTAAGATAAGTACATCAGATGCAAAGGAGGCAGGCAAAGTTTAGAATTCTGATTACTAGGTCAGATTATCTGGAAGGTACCAGGCTTCCCTAAGATTAACCACAAGAGTATCTTTCCTTTTACAAGATCCACTGTTGGTCATCTGCCATTTTTTGCTTTTATAAAACAACAAACAATTTATAAATATAACCTAGAATTGCTGAAAGTTACTTTATGTTTGGAGTAATCTGTTAGTTCTGGATTGTATTTTCTACAACTTTGGATTTATTTTGATTAAAACAAAGACACTTCTCAGCTCTTAAAACTGAACTTAGTATTTGCATAACAAGTAAGTGAGCAAAACTGAAAAAGTTCATTCATGACCTCAGTATCCAGTCTCCACTTCAGCCATATCATTTAACAAACACAACACTATATAAAGGGGATTTGTGTGAACTGCTTTTTCATTTCACTTTGAAGCAGAAGGGTAAGTTGAATTTCCTTTTAATAAATCATAAGAAATTTCAGCTAGAAGGCAAACCCATTCCTTTTGATTTCTGTGGTCATATTTACGTTCTAAAATTAAGTTTCCCTTTATTAGTAATTTTTTTACTTTGCTTATACTAGCAATTTTGGTAGATAAGGAGATGCCTGAAGGACAGTAGATAGTAATGACTGATGAAGGTCATTAAAACTGGATTAAAACTGAAGAGCTGTGTTTTTTCAATTTTGCTATATAACTGATCAGGAGCCTGACTCTGCATCATAATCCAATTATGAGCTGGATGCAGCAGTCCATTCAAATGTGAATGATCATCCCCAGGCAAAGGGGCCATGTTGTAATTGCATTTCCTTATCTCAAGGATGTCAGTATTCCTAGGCACCTAAGGTAGGTTTCTGTTAGGGTCTTTAATAATCTGCTCTCTCTGAGTCACTGGCCAGTGTTTCCAGAGGTGTCTGCTGGCCTTCAGTAAAGGATAAACACCTCCAGATGCTTCAGGTTCAACAAACAAAACTCAGCAGCACCTTTAATACTGCACATGTGCTCTCAGGTGGATTTGATTTTACTTTGAAGTGCAAATTCTTGACCATACTGCTATTAGTGACACAGATCCTATATTCTGCAAATTTATGACAAAATTGAACATTCGCATATTCAAGGGTATTTGCATCAAATTGACCTTGATGAGACATTGCACTTAAAAAAACAAATTGCTGTGGATGCAGATTAAAAATAATCTCAAAAGTCTTCTACAATAGAGTCGATATGGAAGATATATGTTTAATGATTTTTCTTTTAAAAGCTCACCCCATTTAATAAATGACTCTAGACTGATATTTTGATTCTACTTGGCATATATATTTGAAATGTGATAACAAATACCTCATTATAGCTGATGAACCTAGATGTTAACAATCTTACAGCATTCAAGCCAACCAGGTTTTTATTTTAAATTTTAAGTGGAGCTAGATTTAGAACCTAGTATATGTAAATGCTGTTTTTATTCTAGAAGATGGAAGTTTTTAGGAGAGAGCAGGTACAAGATCCTCTTTGATTTTTGCCAATAGAAAAGTGAAGTAATGAATATTGAGTTGTTTGTTTTGAGTCAACCCATGAGCATCACCCCACTGGAAATGGATGCCCATTGTGGCATCTTGAACCTTTCTTTAATCTCCTGTTAGTTTACCTGAATGATGCCAACAACTGGATATTTATGTGCCACGGCATCTTATGGTCCTTCAGGTTTCACAGCTGCACAGCACACCCACTCACTCTGCTGTAAACCCACAATGTAGAGTTTTTAAATGCTTTTTAGTCACGATAGCTCAGCACTTGATTATATCCCTACTTACTGTTTTATCTGTAGGGATAAATTAAGATGAATAAACCTATTGCCAACCAGCAAAAATACATTTTCTACAAGATTAACTGACATTTTCAGGCTTGTGGAATTTTTTTCAAAACAGGATAGGAATGTCAATTGAGCTATAAAGTTTTTCTCATGTGTAAAACAGTATCAGTTTATGCCAAATAAATGTGCTTAGATAGTGTTGTGCCTTAACAAGCTCCCAAACATTACAAATACCAGTGAAACAGATTTGTCTTTCAGGTTAATATCCTATGCATCATTGAGTGATTATAGTCCTTGCAGGCAACTAATGGCTTAAGTGTGATCAGCTGCCTCTGAGCCTATCATTTCTCAAGCATTAATCCAACAAATAGTCAGTGACAGTGAAAGGGATAATTTATCTTCACTACTCCAAGTTTATCAGTCTAGAAAGAGTTTTGTGTATAAACTACACAATGGTTGCAAAATAAATCTGGGAAATCTCTTACACCTGAACTATAAACTTTATTTAAACAAGGAAATAATGTAAATTTCAAGAAGGGATGATGGGGGAAGGAGTGTGCAGCTGTGTAAACCAATGTAAAACAATTTCTTACAGAATCATTACCTGACAAATGTGTGGGTTTTTTTACAGCTGGCCGGAGAAATCATGTTGTCTTACTCATCCTGTGTCCTTACAACACTGGCTGCTTTGTTAGTGACTTGCCATGCATTGAGTAAATGTCCAGGAATTTCTGGGCTACCTGGTATCCCTGGAAGAGATGGTCTGAAAGGTAAGTAAATTTGCCTCTTTTACAAGACACACATGCCACAAAGGCTGCATGACAGGAAACTGATAAAACAGAAGGACACGTGCTCTCAAGGAAGCAGGTGTGTTAAGAACAGGAAGGAAAAGGGAATGGAGGAAATGAGCAATTTAATTTTTTTCTAAAAAAACAGGTCTCCTCTCTCTTCTGGGGAAAGAAGGGAATTGAACGGGTTATCAACAACTCTAGCATATAAGTATTATGTTTATATATGTAGAAATACTTTCTCCAGGCTTGCTGACAAGGCTAAAGCACTATCAGAATTACTCCCAGACTCCCTGTATTAGGCCAAATATAGGGGGTTTTTTAATGGATTGTGAAGTGCAGTAAGAGTTGCAATGTTGCAGCTCGGGGATGCAGCAGCCCTTTGTGTTCTACACGGCTTCAGTTCAGTGTTTCAGTTGTGAATAGTGGGTTATGATCATGGCAGTTTATGAGTGACTTTACACTACATGTAAGACCTCTGTTACCTGTAGAAGGTGTATTTCACACTATCCAGAAATCTTCCACTACCACTGTTTATGGCTCCCATTAAGGAAAGATAAACACAAAACATACACCCTGCACTTTAAAAAGGAAATCACATGGTGCCATAAAAACTGTTTCTTCCTAAAAGTATCCTTCATGCCTGTTCTAGAATGAAACCAATTCCCTTTGGCAAAGCTAGTTTCACAGATACAACTAAGAAAAGGCTTCAACCTCTAAAGCTTCAGTTTCTTTTCTGTAGAGGGGAATTATTGGCGTTTCAGAGGATTGGATGTTTTTGTTAGTTTTCTTTAATGTAGATTAACAGCAATGTGAAAAAAAAAACTAGGAAAATATTTATTTTACACTTGCTGATGTTAAAGACATTTGCCACTTAGTTCTGAAAAATAACTGGTTTTATCCAGGGACCTGTTCCTAGCAGCACAGCTGGTTTTGCTTGATTGTGTAACTTCTGGTTTTATCTGCATAGGTCTGCCTGACTCTCTGGCCACCAAACACCACAATGCTTTAGAAAATTTGAAACACCGACTTTTCCAACTGGAGGCTGGTAATTCTTTCCCTTGTCACTTTTTCAACTCACTATCAGTTTTAAGTGCAATAGGCAAAGTTAGTTACAGAATCATGACTTGCAGGAAAGAAACTGCATTTGGAAAGGGTACTACATCCCAAAACTCCATTTTCTCATTCAAAGCAGGGGAAGTCAGGATTCTTGTTTCCCTGGAGAGAAGCAGATTCCTCTTGGCAACCGTAATGCACATTTATTCAAATTGGGTTTATTTTTAAAAATATTCCAACTACCTGATGTTGCACTTTCCACATGGATTCATGCAAATGCAGTCTTGTACCACTTTTATCTATCAGCAACCAGATTTGTTAAAGGTGGTAAATTGTTTTGTACTGAAAAGGGGTTCACAAAGCAATTACCATATCTCTCTTTCCCTTGCTCAAATCTGAAGCACACTGATCTTCTTTAGAAAGTACACAAAATATAACAGGGCTCATATTTAGCAGATGATGATGGGACATCCTTGTCTTGGAGACAAGGACAGATGGTCAAAGACAGCTAAATATATTTAGTGAACAGTTAGTGAATGGGTAAAATTAAAGATTTTTATTCCTCTTCATCCTTTGCTGTCAATTTTTCCCTCTACTTCTCTTAACACTTTTAGTTTTCTCTTCATCTCTTGATTTCTCTTTATGAACTTTTCCATCGGTATGCCATAGAAAATTTACAAAGCTTTGCATGTTTCAGTGCTTGCTTTGAATGGAAAAATAAGAAAAGTAGGAGAGAAAATTCTTGCCAGCAACGGGAAGAAAGTTGACTTTGCATCTGCACTGCAATCCTGTGAAGAGGTTGGAGGAACTCTTGCAGCTCCCAAGAACGAGGAGGAAAATAAAGCTATCATGGACATTGTGAAGCAGTATAACCAATATGCTTACTTGGGCATCAGGAAGGGGGACACTTCAGGTCAGTTTCAGTATATAAATGGCATGCCTCTGAATTATAGCAGCTGGCACCAGCATGAGCCTGATAGCCAAGGGAAAGAGAAATGTGTGGAGATGTACACTGATGGTACCTGGAATGACAAAAAATGCAACAAGTATCGTCTCACAATCTGTGAATTTTAGAACGGCCTTTCAGCCACCTCAGAGTATGGAGATAATGAAGCATCTGTGTTTCAGGTTGATAAAATTTCTGCAGTTTCTCTGTATCCTAAAATATAAAATGAATCATATTGTGGTATTGTTTAGCCTTAGGAAAATTCCAAATGTGCTGGGTGATTAACATGATTAAAATGTGCCTGAACTGATGTGCCTGATGTGTTTGCCTCTTTTGGGAATAACTCAGAATTCATTTCTCGTGGCAGACTCTCTCCGTACCTTTGTGAAGATTAGAGGAAAATTCCAAGGTTTGACCTAGGGTATTGGAAATGCTGAAGTTAAAATTGCCCATGATGTCATAGTTAGAAGCATTTTGAAGTGCTTAACAATTTCTGCCTCAAAAGAGATGCACAGAGGTTGACTTGACTGAAGCAATTATGATTTCAGATTTTGCACATCACTTTCAATCATAGAACCTGTGTTGTGTCACATTGAACCACTCACTGATTCATCAGCATCCACCTATTTTTCATGAAAATACCAATACTACCAGTTACAATTATTTTTTCTAGTTTCAGAAGCTACTCTCTGTAAAGCACAAAGATAAATATTGCACTTGATTCAAGTGGACAGAGTGTGTAAAATGCTAAAAGTTGCATTTTGTTGCTAAAACAGCACATTCCCTCAGAAAACCGTGAGACTGCAGTGTTGGAAGGCCACGTGTGTTTTCCCAAAACACTGAGCAAAGCAGATAATATTTTGGGAAGGCAGCTAAGAGTGGAAGTTCAGTCAGTTCAAACACAACATCTCTGCTGATGTTACACCAAGCAACAGCACTGACCGACTTCAACTCAAATCTGGGAGGACCAAGACTCACCTTTTCACAAAACATTTTCACTGCTGCTCCTTTTGGGCAGCTGAGCAGAGTACCAGGAGCAGCAAGGTCTCACATTCTCACCTGAGCTCATCCATTGTCATTTACACACTACCTGAGGGGGGGAAAAAGCACTAGGTTTAAAATTCATGCATTAAACACAATCTCCTCCCTCACATTTGGCTCCGTGAGGAAGCCCCTGGGAAGCTGGACTTGACTCTGGGCAGTGATGTTCCCAAGGCTCCCATGAGGAAGAGAAGTAGGACCTATTCACATTTTTGGCAAGGGACAATTCATCTCCAAGTTGTGTGCAGCACTCCAATGGATAAGGGAGCAGACCAGGATTCTGAAATGATAAAAACACACCCAGGTCCATGCTGGATGGATTTCAAAGTGTGAACCTGCCTTGCAAAGCAGCTTGTTTTGATATCTATGACCTGGCACCATCTCAGCCAAAGGTTTCAAACGGGAAGGGAATAGAGCCATAACAACAACTCGAATTCTAATGGTTACATTGAGAAAAAACTAAGGCTAAAATTATACCTTTTAATTTTCCTGGGTTTAGATCTGACCAGCTACACTAAATCTGCTAGAAAGGGTTGAAAAAACCTACCTCTCAAATATTAGTATTTTAGTAAGCAAACATCATTAGCGATTTTTGAGTCTAACTATGCAGTTTCTTTGTTGGTGTTTACCTGTCACAAAAAGTCACCAAAGCCTCCCCCCAGAAAATCCCTACCAAGATTGCCTTTTGCTCTCTGAACTGAAACTAGTTTTGGGGAATCCTTTTCTTTAATTAATGAAAAATTTATTTCTACCACATTTATTTCTGTTGGGGTTTGCAAAATGACTGTAGGGATCTCTGTTAAGACCCTTAATGTGTAAAATCCTACAAATATTTTAACACAAAATAACATCTATATATAAACAGATTTAGATTTCAAGATACCAGGGTGTTTTTTATCCAGTTAAGAAAAAAAAATATTTTCCAGTCACAATCTAATATTTATTACATCAATAATAAAAGTATCTAAGCTAGGTCTAAAAGCCCAATTTCTTCTGCTTTAGCTATTATTATTGAAAAAAGGAGAAAAAACCGAATCAAACACACACATGCTGCTAAAAAATAAAAGCTCCTCAGATCCAGTCAGACAACTGCTAGGCAGTTCTCTCTTTCCCCTTTGTGGTTCACACTTGATCTGTAATGTTGCTTGATAATTCTTTGCAGTTCCACAGAGGAAAGAAAAGAGGAAATTATTGTTTTTTATTTTGATATGGCTTTTTTTTCTTGTGTTGGTGTATAACCCTATCAATTTACACCCTCACATGCTATTTGAAACATCAGCATTTCAGTCTACTTTTTTGTGAAAGATCTGAATTCTCCTTTAATGTATTAATTTATTTTTTTAATGGATAGAGAGGTTAAGCACATGAAGAAACAAAATTAATTGTTTCTGTGTTCTGCTATGGTAATAATAGTGGTATTATTACCATAATAATATGGTAATAATAATTTTGATAAAATCTTTCCTTGAAAGTGCAATGTGCAACAATAATTCCTAATGTATAGTGACCAGACCAGGAAAAATCCAGGTTATTCTTTTTTTTATTCATTTATAATAATCTACTACAGAAGTGCAACATAAAGTTAAGATCTTTAAATCAGAAAATTAGTTACTCTCCAAATGCTATAGAAGCTGTTTTTAAGAATTAAGATCCTAGTACAAGTGAAAAGGTGGCAAAAATTCCAACCCTTGTGAGGCAAGTGGATCCTGTCTCACATAAGAGAAATTGAATATAGTCATTAGGGTATGTTTAATAGTAAAACTTTGGCCATAAAAATTATGGATATTTATTTCAGAGAGAATTGTCTCTGGCCTAGAGTGCTATTCTCTTTTATAGTGGTGTAATTTAATTAATTGTTTCAGCTTAGAAGTACTATTATCAATTTTGGGCACTCAAAAACCTCACACCAGCCCTCATCAATCCCTACCACACGTGAAGAAATTCACCATCGATTCTGGCAAACACAAATTTTCCTGTTGCTACGTGATTTTTGTAGAAACTTGATTAGAAAACCCCATGGCCCACGGTTCTTGAGAAAACTGAGTCCAAATTCAGCCTTTTGTGACCCTAACTGGCAGGATGTGACACAGGGCTGCCTTATCTTGTATAAACTGTGAGCTGGACCTCAGAGTATCAGGTTGCAAGGGGTATTTCATTATGGGAAGTTGAAGCACACTTTTATAAAATCCAGTTAGCCAACAGTTACACAAACATAGCTGATTTCAAAACACAATAGATACAGGATTCTTGGAAATTAGAGTAGCACCTTAAAAAACGGTAAGAGGACTTGGATGTTTTTATGAAGTCCCTGTTAGGAAACCAGTGTTTGGCAGAATTTGCCTCAAGGGTTATAACCTTGGAATGGAATGAAGCTTTCAGCCATCTCTGCCCTTGTGGCTCAGGCTGGGCAGCACTGCAGAGCAAGGAGGCTGTGGCAATGGGAACTATTTAACTATTAAACACATGAGATATTGTCTTGCTTTCTATTTGCTATAAAACTTCTGTGGTTTTTCTCAGCTGAGCTGCACCAAGTGACACATCAGAGACATCCAGAGACCTCCTCTTGGATCCTCCACTTAAGTCCCTGGGGCAAGATGGCAGTAGCATTCATGTGCACTGATCACAGGCAAAATGAAGACTTTCTGCTCTACAATGCTGCTCATAACTTAACTTTTTAAAATGCCTGTTGAAATCTGCTATCCCAAGTGTCTACATCTTGCTGAATTGTTTTTAGTGCTCAGCAAAAATAGCCTTAGCCCTCCTCTGAGAAATGGGACCATGTGTTCCCACGCTGTGTGCTCCTCCTGCTATTCCCAGGCACACGAGAGTTTCTGGGGACAGTCTGATAATTATTTGGAAGAGAAAAGGAAATGCAGAAAACACAGGACAAGGTCGAAACAAGGTAAGGTGGAAGCAACAGCAGAACAGAACAAAATCAACTTAAACAGAAAATATTGATGGGTTTGGGGGCATTTAAATACAGAGAACGAGAAAATAATTTTTAAGGTTATCTGTGAATAGCACTGTGGAAAAACTGACTTTCAGGCGACCAAGCATGCCAAGGAAAGGCTTAGAAACAGGCTCATGGAAGGAGCACACAGCCATTCAACTGTTCAACTCTGTCTGTATTTCTCAGAGCAGCTGAGAAAGCAGCATTGACCAACCTTTGTCCTTAGCAGCTTTTGCCTTTGCCTACGTACACTGCACAACACAACCCACTCAGAATATGTGACATCTGCTTCACTGAAACTATGAAACCTCTTACTGATTGATGTGGAAAGTGGAGAAAAGTTACCTGAGTGCTCAAAAATAGTTTGTTCTTTATCAGATCCGTGTCCTTGAATCTTGCTGGACCTCTGTGATATGTAGTTCAAGGAAAGATCAGAAAATAGTTTACAAGCTATGGTAATCATATAAAATATTCTATTAGGTAATCATAAACAAGCATATTAGAAATTAAGGTGTATTTAAATATCTATTTAACTTGCGCCATCTTATTAATATGCTGATGAAAATCTAGACAAGAAAGGTTTATAGTTTATCAAACCTACATCAATTTTTCCTCAGGAGTCTATCACAAGAAACCTTTTGTCCCCCTTCTGGTTTCCCAGGCCCTGAGTCAGCATGTGAAAGCCACAGCTGCAGGCCAAACCTCCTCCTCTTTTGCCTTGCCTAACCTGTGGTTTCTTCCAGGTGCAGTTAAATGTTCAAGTTGTTCTCACCAGGGATGCAAGGGGCCAGGGTCTGCCAGTGACCTTTTCTAGGGCTCATCTAGAGCCCAGGTACTGGCTTGGCTCATGTTCTCTGTTTGATTTTGGTGGGGTTTTCTTCCCGAAAATAACAATTAAAAAACCTGTGCCAGAAGAATGTTGAAAGCATTACATCAAACACTCAAAAACTAAGAAACGTTGAAATTTGACAAGGAACTCGAAACAAAGGTTACTCTTGCAAATTTAAAACAGCCCTCTTCTGTCAAGGTGCATACAACCGGGTACTGCCTATTTATTTTTCACAGGACTGGTGCACTCAAGGGCACTCAATAAACAATGCAGCAGGATTTAATCCAGCATCTGTGGGCACACCACCAAGGACAGGGGTGTTGAGGCATACAGCAGTGGTTGAGGTGAGTGTGGAAGTGCAGGGCACTGGTGCACGGTGCCTGTTTAGCTGATCTAGCCTTGCTTAGACCCAGCAGCATGCCAGACTAACACAGACACTGCTGGCACTCCCCATCTAGTCCCAAAGCCCTCCATTCCTCAGCTGTCTTGGCTGTTGGCCTTGCTGCGACATCAGGATGCTGGCCTGACAGCACAAGCACGATGCAGCCACATCTGACTTGGTGGAACTGAACAGACCCAAAGTCTGCACTGCACAGAGCCAGCCCTCAGCTGAGAACAGCTGTAAAGTGCTTGGCAAGGCCATCTCCATTTCAGTGATGCTCCTCATCTTGGGCCTCTGTACTTACAGGACTGGCATAAAGCAGCTTTTTCCTTCACTGAGAGGTCATTGTTCTGCTGGAGAAAACTGCTCTTTTTGACATATAAACCTCCCCTGGAATATTCTGTGAGTTATTTCTGTGTCTCTCTAGCTGTCTCCTCTACATGTGCTGCAGATGCACCACTGCCATTTGGCTTTGCTGCTGCAATTGTGAGAGTCTGTTTAGTTATGAGACTTCAGTCATTATCACTGGTGAGCCCTCAATCTGTAACAAAAATGATGGTGGTGTTCCTGGTGTACATTATATTTCAGGTGGACTTGTTATGCCTTATCTTCTGTGACATTTGCACAGCCACGCTGTAGAAACATTTGGTATTTCAAATATGAATTGAGAAATTTGTTCTGCTCCAGGGTTGGCATTTTTAAACTTGTGAAAGTGTTTCTACAAGTGAAAAAGTACCTTCAAATACTTTCGTTATGTCTTAAGTATGTTTACCTCTTGAAGAGCACAATCCCCCTATCATTCAAGTTAAAGTTCATTGGATTTCCATTTATACGCAAATTCATATCACATGACATATTCTTTGTGCTTCCTGTGGTAAGAAGATGAATCTCAAGTTACATGCCCTATAAATTGAACCATTTAATGAGTCTTTCTTAATTCACACTGGAGCTGCTAGGTAAGTCGAACATCTTTAGATAAGTTGCTGCTTAAACTATGTTGAATCTATCAAACTATACCACAAAGCTTTCCAACTTCAATGTGTGTTTTATTTTTATTAACAATTTCCTATTAATCAATAGGAATTCCTGTTAATTAATATTAACCTCTTTTTATAGACCATGTCACCCGAGGTGAAGAGATGTTAAAAAACGGATACTGCAAAGGAAGAAAAAGTATTAACAGTTCTTTTGCTCTTAAACATTCTTTTGCTACAGCAGCCGTGTGTCTATTGCTCTGTAAAACAAAACTATAACTTTTTGCAGGGGGATAATGGCATATAACGATATCTGATGTACAGAAAAGTCCTTTGAAGGGATGTTTTGGGTTTTTGCTCTGTTGACCTTGTAAACTTAGCAGACTTAGCAGTCTTTTGGAAAAATATTTTAATTGTCTGAAATAAGATAACTTTGCAACTACGTGAATGACATTCATGTCACTGCCAGCAATGCATAATATACGCAAGACTTCACACCCAAAATAATTCTAAAACATTCTCTTTTTTTTTTTTTTTTTTATGCAGAACTCTGCACTGGACAACAAACCAGTTCTGGTTTACCTTTAGCTTTAAATGATGCTGCCTCCACAGCTGCACAAGATCTTAGCAGTAGCTTTTTTCGTGCTCCCATTCTGTGCTCAAGGTAAACCTGCAGGATTTTTTCCACGATTCCCTTTGAAGCTTTTTTTTGGAGATGCGAGCAATGAGCAACAAATACCAGGTGCATGAAGTTATCTCCATTTTTATCTGTTGTGTTCTAAGCTTTGTAAACTCAGTGCTATCTACCACAATCTGATGTGTGATCTACCTGAAATAAAATAATCAGGACTTTACTAATTTCTTATATGAAATGAGAAACTTAAATTTCTGTTTAACGATGCAGTGGTTCAATTCACAGGGAAAAGTTTACAATCTTCCACAGCACAAGAAACTTGTTGCTGAGTCCTAGGTTGGAGCTGTAAGCAAGTGTTTGAAAAGCCAGAAGGATTCTGTCGAGGATTCAGTCTCTAGACACATATAAAATCAACTAAACCTACTGCACTAGCGTCAGTGTTTTGCCTGGACTGGCTCAATCACTTCGATTTTCCAGTTCTCCATAAACATCTCTGCTCTGCAAGTGACTTCCAGGATCTTATCCCCTACCCTTACAAAGATTAATGTGTGAAGATATCACCTGTTTAAAACACAGCAGTAAACTAAAACATTTTTAAAAGTTTGCATTAATTTCATATGAGCTCTGCTCTTGAAAGCCAAGATGAAACTGTAATGCAAAGTGCATAATAGCTGGTTTTGTTCACAGATGTCACACCACTGCCTGGCAATGAAAATGAGGATGATATCCGTGAACTAGAATATCGGATTTCCAGACTGGAAGGAGGTATTTTATCTGCCTTTGCTTTCTGCTGCTGCTGGTTTAGTGGGGATAGACCAGGTGGGCAAAAACTGCTTCTTAAGAAAAAGGCATAAAAGGAATGCAATAAAACTGCAGAAAACTCTATCTTCTTCACTGGTACATCATTGAATGAAAACTTTCAAATGGGGTAGGTGGGAAATTAGAATTTCATAGCCAGTGAGAAACACTTGGGTAACAGCTCTGAAGTATGAGTGCAAGGAAGGCAGGAACGTACCAGATTAAAATCCCTGCCTACACAGAGCTGCTCCATGCACACCCTGTGCCCCCAACAGACAAACAGAACACTAAAAATATACTAAGACAATCATGACCAGATCAATTCTAAGATCTCACTCAAGAACATTGGTATGCTGCAAACCACCTCAGAGTCTTATAGAGAGTCTCAAAGAAAATCATATGCTTTTTTAAAAAATAGAATTCCTCATTCCCTTTGCTCCTTCAACTTCTTATGTGATTCTCCTGTTTCATCATCTGTGTATATATGTGTTTCTTCCCTTTTCCCCCTCTCCTCATTTTCAAATGTCTTTGAAGTTTTGATTTCAAGTCCTCCTTTCCTTTACCTTTTCCTGGGTTTAATCTAAAGTTATGGAGCAAAATTGCAGGAGTTAGAATTGACAGCAAAGTGAGCACAAGACAATGCACAGATGTTTAACAGCCTTTCCCTCCTCTTGCAGTCCTTCGCTTGAACAAGATGATAACAGAGTCTGGAGGAAAAATATTTGCTACCAGTGGGAAAAGTGCTGATTTTGAAGCTACAGTGGAAACATGCAAAGAGGTTGGAGGCTCTATTGCCACTCCAAGGAATCCTGGCGAGAATGATGCCATTCTGTACTTTGTGAGATATTTTAACACCTACGCCTACCTGGGGATAAAACAATCCCTTATTCCAGGAAGATTCCAGCTCCTGAATGGTGCTCAGCTGAGCTATACTAACTGGTATTCAAACGAACCTTCTAGCAATGGCGAGGAGGAATGTGTGGAGATGTACACTGATGGCACTTGGAATGACAAAAAGTGCAACAAGAATCACCTTATTGTCTGCCAGTTCTAGTGCTTCCCTTGCTGCTCTCTGGAATATGCTTCCCTGTCACTTGTCTCTTCATTTGTAGCTAGTGAACTTAGAATTCATTCTTTCCCAATCTGACTTGTCTTTTAAACAAATGAAACTGTGTAGTGAAAGCAGTGGCCATTTTGTCTGTTAATCATTGCCCACTGAGTGTTTTAATACTACTGCCTATGGGTTCCTACTGCTGTTAGCCTGCTGATTTATTACAAGACCAAAAATTAGAGTTCTTGGCTGCATATCTAAAGAGACTTGCAGCCACAAGGCCTTCCAGGACTCCCTTACCCATGAACATCTACTTTGTGTGTATTTTGATCCCTTTCTATAAGTTTTCCTCACCAAAACTCCCCATACAGACACTCTGCTGTTGCTCAGCCCCTGTTGCTTTGGCCACCCTGACCCCCAATAGGTGCCCTGAAAGGAGACGGGAGCAGTGCTGCTGGGGTGGCACAGAGCATCCCCCTTACATTTCCCACTGGAAAACTTCAGAGTCAGCGGGTCTTTAACCTTCGTGCACCTCCGCAGTGGTGACCACAAGCCACATGTTTAGCAATTTCTAATCCCTTTCCTGACTCAAAAATGTAGGAGCACAAGAAGACCAAGGTCCCGTGTCACGTGGGATGTGTGTGGAAAAAACACACAGGAGCCAACAGGAGAATTACTGGGCCTATGTGGTGTAGGGAATATCAGCAGAGCCATGACAAGGCCAAATTTTTAGGCTATATTGTCATGGGATTCAGATACAGCTAATTCTGGGCACCACAGATGTGCTTGTCAGACCCCCATTGGGATTCTCACAGGGCCAAGGCCAAGTGACTCAGCGCTCATTGCTGCTCAGTCTCCACTGTCCAGTTTAAGATAAAGGATTAAGAGAAACTTCTCTCAGCTTTCTTGCTTGTCCACCTACTGAAGGTGAGAATTGCCCAAGTTTAGACTCACAGTTGTGCAGTACATCTGCACACTCAGGAAAAATCCAAATCGGACATATCTTTCTCCAGGGCAATTGACTTCAACACAGCCTAGGCAATGAAGGCTCTGCATCAGCTCCATGGTGCAAAGGCTGGCTGAGCATCTGAGGATGCCTCCATAAAGCCAAAAGCCTGACTGTTCACACTGTGTTAGACCCAGCTTGGTCACGGAAGCCTGAGCAAGGACAGGTCCAGCTCCAGAGGCAGATCAGCTCCCCTCACCCTCTGTGTGTCAGGGAGGCAGAACAGCCACAGTGTGGAAGGTAACAGGGGAGGCAAGGTGTGCTCACAGCTCCTGTGAACCTGGGGGCCAGCAAAGAGCCTGCTTGGAACCTTGTGGCTGTGCAAATCACTGTAATTCCAGAGCTGCAACTTGCCATGCACAACATTCCTGCGCTGGCTTCAATTACAGCATTATTTCGGGCACATGGTCTCAGCACCTGCTCTGTGACAAGGAATGGGTCTTCCTGGCCTTCTTTCAGCCCTCTGCTTGATGTCACTGCCTGTGACTCATTCTTGCTGTTATTTTCTGCAAACTAAGCTGCTTGTCTTTTAGGTATTGGGAAAATGAATGCAACAAGGTTGGTGTCAAACCCAGACACCTTTCTGCTTGAGCAGCCTGGTGCCTGCAGGTGGTCCACCTCCACAGGGACTCTCAATTATTCACTCCAGCAGTATTCAAATCCTTCATCACAATGCATACTAAATAGGACCCTGTTTCCAAGAGCTATAAAGTTGTCTCAACATATGCAAAAATAAAACTTTTGTGAACAAAGTCCTGTTTATCCATGCATCTGTTTGGCATTTAAGGAGATCTACAAGCTGTTAAAAAATGCCTTATTTCAGGACAGCACAGCCAAAATATAAACTACTGAGTCCCATATCATGTAAGGTCCTGAGAGACTGCTCTGTTAACCCAGGTGAAACAGGTACATAGAGGGGAAATGAGGACCCAGGAGTCCATATGGCACTGTTTCACTTTCTAGCTTGCTTCTTACTTCACAAACATTTTGCAGCTCACCACTATCTGCCTGCACCCATCAGCTCACCTGCCCAGTCCTCAGCCTGGTGGGACTCCTGTTGTGAAATTTACTCTGCCACGAGCACAAGGAAACAGGATCACAAGCATCATCTAGTTTGGTAATTTTCCACTCATCATATTCCAATAAAGTTTAAGACATTTACAGTAAACTGCCTGAGAATGAAGTTGAACACAGTCCTCTACCACCAAACATTTAAAGCCATAATAAATTTTTTATTTTATCCTGCTAATCTCCAGGGGAGTCACAGAGTTATCTTAAAATTAAAGCTAATTTCAGGTGTATGAAAGAAAGCAGCTACCTTCAGTGTTAGTCTAATGTATAAGTGCCACAGCAGAAATGCTCCACCACTGCCCCATCTTTGGGCTTTTCCCCTGTGGGCCCCCAGGGAAGAGAGCAAAGGACTTTGTCTGTTCCTCCACAGCTGCAGATGCCCTGGTGAGACACTCTGGCTACTCCTGGTACTGGGATGAGGACACAAAACCTCAAAGCAAATGTTTGTCACCCTGCCTGAAGCTGCCAGCTTCAACAGCCCTGCTGGCAGCAGGCAGTTCTTGGCCTGAAAGGCAGATTGGTTCAGCCTTTAGACACTGAATTAATTTCCTAAATCTGAATTAGAAGGCTATACAGTATCCTCTGATTTGTAGAAAGACGGGATTTCCCAAGGCTAGCAAGCATTTACGTCAAAAGCTTGATCCACCCTATCCTAACTTTAAATTCTAGTTGTGCTTTTTTAAACTGCCACTATTTGACGTGTATTTCCTTGTGGATATTCTGGACCACCCAGCATGCTGGCAAGCCAAACTCTGTGACGTTCAATTTTCAGTCAATAGCATGTACTTTCCCCCTTTCAGTTGTAGGACTAATAACATCAGCACTAGGATTAAGTAAAGTTAAAATTGTATTAATCTGAAGAGTTAGTAAGAGAACAGGGTAAACAGGTTTCTTGGAAAGCAACTTAGTGAGGAATTTGATTTTAGCAAGATGAAATATTAGTGTAAAATATCAAGAGGGGTGGAAGTCACTTGCCAAGTTCTGCAGGGAAAAGTGTTACTGATTCTCTCCCTTGTACAGTGGAAAACAATTATTCCCCCCACCCCCCCATCAAGAATTGTTCAGGAAATTGTTTAGAATTTTATAAAAATACCCATCATGTGAAAAACTGTTCTTAACAGCTGATATTTTCTGTGAAAATACCCTAGCTAATATTTTTTTCTGCTTTGTAAGAAACTGGAAAACCTATTAATGGCTGTGTGGCTTTGAGATCTAAAGGGGCATCCTTGGAACCTGAAGCTCTGCAGAGCCCTTTGGATGTGTCCATTCCAGCACAGAGAGTTCCACAGAGCTCATGGTTCCGTTTTTAAGGCAGGCTGCAGTTTGGCCTTCACATCATCTCTTGTCGAGAGGCAAGAGCCAGATGCAGCAGCGTGCTCAGGCAGCAGGGCCACTTCTCAGGGACTGTGTAGTGCCACCCCCAGCAGCAAGGAGAGGAGCCAGAGCTGGCTTAGCAGAGCCTCTCAAGGGGTTTTTACATGCACTTTTTACAACTGATACTGCAGCAGCCTGGGCACAGCTGTGATTTGTCAAATATTTAAATAAAGCTAAGCTGTTAAGTAGCAAGTGGGTTGTTGAATATACCTAGGTGGAAGAGAGTTGGCTGTATGAGCACCTTGGATCTGCAATAAATTTAGGGGCAGCAGCCCTCACACTCTGAAGGCTGCATGTGCTGTTCATAATAGTCAGAATGAGTTACCCAATCAGATTACTTTCTCCTGAGTAAACAAGATGATTTACAGGGAAAGTCCAAGTGGTTTTCTGGTAAAAAATGGGATTTCATTTTTCACTGCAGGTGGCTGTGTCCCAAAGCAGGCTGTGCACATGTGAAGAGCCAGTGATTGCTTTGCTGGTTCCCTTGCTTCCTTAAAGGCTTGTGCCACTTTAAGAGCACCAGGTGGGAGGTGATAGAGGTTTGTACCACTGCACAAACAAGTGCTGAGTCCTGCTGTGCTCACCTGAGCCTGGCTGGGCCGGGGGACCCTGCCCTGGCCTCCCACAGGTGACACAGCAGCTCCAGCAGCACAGGATGGGCACCCAAAAAACACCAGCCCAGGCCGGGGACAGCACCTGCAGGACACCCCGAGGGCACTGAGCAGGTAAGAGCAGACAGAAATATCTGCTTCCAGCTAGCCAGGTTGAGAAAAACAAAAATATTCAACACAAATTCAGCTCCTTTGATGCCTTTCTAGAAAAATAAGGGGGATAACAAAATTATTTCTAATTTGTGCAAGAGATTCTCAGCAGGGAAGGTTTGAGGAATATAGAGCTCCTATTCATATAATTAATTTTAAGTGCAAAATAGTTAGCTAAATGGTTAGGATTATGTCTGTAAGTGGACTGCATAAGGCAATCTCCTTTTCTTCTCCTTTACAGTTAGCACACCTCCAGCTTGTATGAGTTTATTCAAGAGTGTTGAAAATCCAAATATTCCAGAACAGGAAATGTCTGTGACTCAAGTGTAGGTGTCTCCTCACTGCTACACATTCAAGAATCAGGAACCTAACAGACACATGCCACAATGCGTTATCTATGAAAGCACAAAACCAACCTTTTAGACAAAATACAAAAACCTGAATTTATATGTCCAGAAAAGTGCGATTTAAATAACATCTGAGAAACTCTTCTTGTGTTTTTAACTTTCACTGTAGTCACCTGACTACAATTAGTTTCACCTCACTTCCAAAAGTAAGGGCTTGATCAGCATTATCACAACAGTTTGCTATGCTAGTTTTGGCTTTTAAATAGTCTGTCTTCATCATATTTTTGTTTAAAAAATCTTCCCCCGAGTTTCAGACAATTTCTGTACCCAAATTTCACATTAAGATCTTTTAAGCTAGATTTGTATCCTGCAGTAACTTCACTCACTGAAAGATAAATGCATACTGATTTGGCTTAAAAATAATCAGACAAAACTGTTTTATGCCTTATAAATACTGAAATCCTTTTAAAAATGAATGCTGAAATATTTTAATTAATACTTTAGCTACTCTTTACTTGTAGAAGGAAATACTTAAACAAATTCAGTGACCTTTCTGTTAATATTTTTGTGATCCTGAGTGTTTTCATACACTCTTGGTTTGAAAGGTTTGGCCCGCTAGAGACCAAAGCGGCATTATTAGACCTTTCTAAGGTTCTACACAGTTGAAATGCAACCTTTTCTCTAAGATACTAAAGTCATTAATTTGATTTTTGGTTATTACAGGGGATTCAAGTGATGATTTTAACTTGCAGTGTAGTTATCTCTCGATCATCACCCTCTTTTCAAGTCCATCACTATGCCAGACATCCAGGTCTGAGAATTTTTCCAGTTCCTGCCATTTGCTACCTCTGTTTGCAGCACACAGGGAAGTGGCAGAGGAATGAATTCACCTTCCTGCAGCTGCCCAGGGTTACAAGGCACACTGAGGACGCTGCAGACACCTGACCCCTCCAGAAAACCATTGTGGGTAATTATCTTGGAGTGCTAACAGGAAGCTGCCAGTCAAGTCAGAGAACAAGTACACAGCAGCACTTGTTCTCCCCACTTGAAGGGCAAATATTTGTATCACTGACTGAGTGGAAAATGAAGCAGAACAAGTTCATTGTTGTTGTTGGTTTGCCCCTCTCAGCCTGTTCTTCCTTTAAAATGAGTGAGTGCCTGGGAGGAGAGTGGTCACACCTCTGCAAAGCTGGAAGTGTTTCACAGCTCCCGTGGTGCTAAAGCAGCTGGGAGCCCATCTTTGTGTCTGACTGAGCAGCTCTCAGGGGTGGAAAATAAAACCCCTCTCCACAAACTACTATAAGCCCTCTTTGCAGAACATACTGGAAATTCAATAGAGTCCATGTGGTTTGATCTGATATAATTAATAGCATAATCTAATGGAATTCCTGACCTAATAAAATATCAAAAATTGTATAAAGATATCACTAATAATCAGTCTTTAATATTTCAGATGTATTGTTTTGTATTTTTAACAAAAATATACTATTTTAATATATTGTTTTGTACTCTTGATTGTGGTTTTTTTATCCAATCTGGCTGTATTCATCTTGACCAAGAACTGAGCACTGTCACTTAATTTCACAAAGACAAGTCTTTGACTGATATTAAGTGCTGTAGCTACTAATCAGAATATCTTGCTACAAACAAAAGAAAATATAAACATTCACTGATATGAAACAGATCTTGCAGACTTCAATTCATTCTGCCATTTGATGCCTGCATTTACAAATGTACTGGGTTCCCAAAGTTTTAAAACTTGTTTTTCTGTTCCCAGACTTTAGCAGTAGTACTAGGTCTGTGACTTTCCAGGCACAGGGTAAAAATTATTATATGATAACCAATAATTCTATAGTTTGGAGGTCAATACATTATATAACTAGGTGCTAATTCAGATACCAGTTCATCTTTTAGCCCTTTGCAATACATTTTCAAAGAAACCACAACTGTGAGCAAGTTACAGACTGGGAGGCCACCACCTCCCACAAGCATCTTGCTCAAGGGAACTTCTCAAGTTACAATAACTAAAGTTACTCTAAGGTTCAGAGGGCTGTCTTGAACCTTCACACTATTTCTGTAGACTGCAAATAAGTGGTTTTTTGTTTGTTTTTTTTTCTAACAGTATTGCTGCCTTCAGCATTTGGCCTCATGGGACATTGAGGAAATGCAATTCCCCCCTCCCAGATGTGATAGTGGGATAAATATATCAGGGGGTTTTGTAAGGTTTTCCCTACTGTTAGTTCTCTAAAATGAAGATATTAAAGTGTAATTTGGAGGGGGGGAGGAGGGGGAAGAAGCAAGCTGAGCAGAGAAAAATAATTTCCTTTTTAACCTATGTTCATTACAGCTAGCAAAGATGACATTCAACTCAGCAGGCAGGAAAAGCACTCTTCAGTAGTTTCAGAGGGTGGATTCCCTGCAGGACAGAGGCCCCAGGGCAGCTGTCTCAGCTGCATCCTGCACATCTGCTCCACTGCAAGGCAGCAGCAGCACAGAGTCAATCACTGTCTGTCTATATGTGGTTTTGCTCTTTTTTCCTTATAATCAAAGGTAAGGCTCCAAATCAAACAGTATTTTCTGGCTTTTCTATATTGCAGCAGGCTGTAAGCCAGCACACAGTACATCTGCTAAAAACACCAAAGTATTTTATTTCCTGCTTGTGCTGTCCTCTGCAAGAGTTGTGGTATTGCAATTCAAAAGTGAATCTTTGCAAAGATAAAGGGAGCAGCAAAGCAATCCACAATCCAGGACACATTTTTACAGGGTCTACTTTAGATTATGTTAAATATATGACCTTAGTGAAGAATATCAGCTTCATTTCCAGAATTATATATTAAGTTTATACTTGTTTTCTCTGGAAGGTTAAAGGGTAGAATTGTGGTTTCACTAAGAAAATATTCTGGCCACTGTGCTAAGATTAAGCCATCTTTAGCATCCAGAATGGGCTTTCATCAACTATAGTATAGAAGAAAAAAAAACCACCTCAATTTGTATAGCCTTCAGGCAAATCTTAAATGAAACACTGGAAATTGAAGGTTCAAATCACACCTCTAGGAGGTCTCCTTTTTTTCTCCCTTCCCCAACTATCTTCTTTATAGTATACTTCTCTAAAGAAGTCATTTATTGCATGTCATTGAATGTGTTCAGCTCAAATCCTGGCAGTCACCTTTAGTCATCTACCCATTTCTTAAATTTAGATCTAGAACTTCAATATAAATTATTTTGTGGTTTGGAGACCAAATTTGACATACTTACACATTCACTGGTGAGGATTTTAGTTGAGATAAAGAACTCTCAAATCTCCAGTGACAGTATATTTACTCCAAAGACTTTGTATTTCCAGAGCTATGCTTTGGTTGACCACTATTTTGATTCATTTATGCCCTCCCATAATCAAATACCGTGTCCCTGTGAGAAATACCTTGTTAATAGAGCAGTCCCAGACCTTGACTAGCTGTGCTGAAGGGAACAGGCTGGCTGAGGTAGCCTGAAACATTCAGAAGGGCACAGAGTCACCCCTGCAGCCTCTGCTGGCTGCTCAGCACCACAGCTGGGCAGCTGCACTGGGCAGGGCACCTGTGCTCCCTTCGGGATCAGTTCTGCTCTCACCAACGTACCTTGCTTTTGATTAGCTTACTGAAAATTATGTGTATAGTAATACTGACTTATGACACAGCATCCATGTCACATGGGCAGAATATTGTACATTCAGCCTCCCAAAAACCAAAGCACACTGCATGTTGTGCCCTGAGGCTGTGCAGTACTCACTCCAGCTAAGAAAAACCTTAGGACATGAGAACAGAAGTGCAGGAAAAGCTTAGAATAGGTAATGCAGAATAAATACACACTTTGGAGACTTTAGGTAACACTTAGTATCTCTTCCTAGCCAGCAGTAGGTTTTCCAGCTAAAGGCAATGCAGCCAGCAGTTCCAGAAGGTGAGAAATGAACTGCTTGGCAAATGAACTGCTGCTCTTACAGCTTTGAATCACACATCCTTGAATCCTCAGAGCTGCCTCAACTATTACAGACCTTCCCATCACTTCCCAACTCTTCTGCAGTGTCATCCAAGGCAGATGGAAACCCAGCAGTGCTTCTCCCACAGACCCAGGCAGGGCTGTTTTGTCCAGCCCTTGTTTCACTGCCAGGGTACAACTGGCAGGACAGCAACTCCTTATCCAAGCATTATCCATGTGTTATGTCATCTCCACCAAGGGATGGAGGAGAGGGGTGTGTGCTCAAACACCTCACCTTCCTCACCTCAAACCACAGCATTTGCTTTCACAGCACAGGAAAAGAGCAGAGTCTTCATTCACCCTCAGCATCCACCGCCTCTTGGGATCTCTATTTCTTACACAGATTGGTATACAGTCCACCTGAAACTTCCTGGAATTTTGTTTTGTGAAAAACTCACTAACGTGACCTTCCCAAACAGCCAGGATTTAAGGAAAGGGCACTGCTCTCACCCCCAGCAGATCTGGCTACTGGCAGAGCAGTTCATGCTCTCTCTGGATTTTTTTTTCCCCCAGATCTAGACACTGGTAAGGAATCAATAAAGCAGAGAACAGGGACAGGGATTTCCCATGGAAACCATGTCTGATTTTTCAAAAAAGGGAATTGCAACAAACTGAGAGGGGAAAAAATGAAGGAAATGACATGACAGCAAGATTTGTAACAAAAGAAAACAAAGCAAAAGTAACAAGAGCTTAAAAGAAGATACCTGGCAGAGAAAAAGGCAGGAAAAGAGAACCACAAAGCAAGTCAGAAACAGACATTTAAAAGAATTAACTGCCAAAGACATTCAAATTAGCAGACAGGAGGATAATACAGCTTTCAGGTGTGTGGGTTCTGGAAGAGGACCTGCAGCCTGATGCCTTTCAGATGTGTGGGTCTTGTGGAAGGAATTGCATTGAACACTGCATTCCTTAGGACACCCCATTCACACTCAACAACCTGTGACATTCCCTGTGCAGCAGCAGTGAAGCAGCACAAGGAAGCTCCCTGAGCAAAATAAAAAAAAAATCCCACAGCCTCTCCAGGTTAAAAACAGCCTTCACCCAGCAGTCAGTGGGAAGAGAAGAATAATACCAAAAAATTATACCAACAATACAGGAAAGGTCAGTGTCACCCAGGCTGACAGGCTGTGCAGCACAGCTCACATCAGAACTACAGATAAATACAGATATCAGAGCAGATAAACACACACAAAATCAAGCAGCTGTTCTGTAGCTTGGGTGAAAACAGACACAGAGCACAGCCCACTTCAGGGAATGAGCCTGGTGGGCAGCATTCCAGCTCCAGTCACCCTCCTGCCACAGCTATGTGGGATTCACTGGAAGAAGAGCAGCTGAGAGAAGGTTCCAGGTCCTGAGCTAGGGGAGCTGCAGCTGCATCCTCTGTTCTTCTTCTGTGCTTGTAAGATCTGAGATTAATCTGACTAGAACGTGACACAGCAGCCAAGGAGAACTCCATTAGCAGTCTGCTAATGGATAGCTGGGCTTCATTAAGGATATCATGGCCTAAATCCTCCAAGATTTGTCACCAGATATAAAGTGACTCTCCTCACAAACCACAGCAAAAAAAGAAAAAAGATTGAGCTAATGGCAATTTTAACAGTCATATACACAATTGCTGGAAATGATTCAAATTTTCTACTCTCCTTAGACATGCATATTCTATCAACCCTGCTTCCATCTTCACCTTCACATAAAGGTGAGGATTTAGGAACAAAAACCCAGAAAAGCATGTACTCAGACAAACCTGAGACCTCTTCTGGTGAGTTGTAGCCCCAGTTCCCACAGCATATGCAGTATTGCAGCCCCTCCAGTAACTTCCCACTACTGGTACAAGGAGTTGTGGAGGGGAAAAAAAAACTTTTTAGCCCCTGGCACCTCCTTTTATTCACTCACTGAGCAGCTTTCAGGTGTGTGGGTCCTGTGGAAGGAATTGCATTGAACGCTGCATTCCCTAGGACACACCTGTTAACACTTCACAAAACCAACATTATTTAACTCCTTCCCAAGCACCCTGCTCTTACTAAAGCGTTATACATGGAAAAAGATAAAATATGTATTCTGACTGCAATTCAATTTCCAGTTCTCCTTTCCATCATATTCTTTTACTTTCAGCCTTAGCTTTGATACATGTCAGTGTAGTAATAATTTTGTGTAATGATGCTCTAAGCAGGAGAGACGGGCCTTAAAAATCAAAATTTTAAAGAGAAAGGTTTACCCAAGGGTCAGGAACAGTGCTTTAGGGTGGAGAGGGTGTCTTACACCAGCATCAGCAACTGCAGCTGAGCCAAGGGGGAAAGGCTGATGCTCTATGGAGGCTCCTGAGGGCACAGAGAGAGAGAGAGAGAGAGAGCTCTTCTGGGGTCTACAGTCCAGGAAATGTGTTTATTCTTCAGGCTGAGAAAGGAATAGGCCAAAGAGGCTGACACCCTTGTGCTGGTTAAAACAAACACATCTGTTCAGACATGATTCCTATTTGCAAGTAAATAATGCAGCATAATTTTTGTGTTTACAGCTTCAGACTCTTGAGACGGAGGCAATGATGGTGGATACCATCCTGGCCCCATGGGAAATCCTGCTGGTCATTTTTGCAGCAGTGCTGGTGATGAGTTTGCTGATGCTGCTGCCCCCCGCTGCCGTGGTGCTCTGGAGGATGAAGCGAGCGCCGCAGATCTCTCTGCACGGCTCGGTGTGAGCCCCCGGGGCCTGGCAGCAGGGACCAGGACATCTCTGGATCTATGACACCGCTCAGGGTCACTCTCACTACCTGTGGTCCACCACAAGCAGTGGCTCTACCAGTCTGCTGCTACTAAGCTCCTGTGAAAAGAGAGCCTGTGTGACTTTGTCGTCGGGAGCTGCGGCTCTCGCTGCTTTTCCATTTTTTGGCTGAGTTGTTTAATTACTGTTGTTGGCTCCGGTCCCAGACTGAGTTCTCCTCTTGTGTTAGAATGGACTGAAAGAGAAGCAAGGATAAAGTATTCCCTTAATTAATATCAGGAAAGCTTCCCTCTCTATAGTTACACTGTAAATATTACCAAAGCCTTCAGCTGACTGACAGGTGGACTTATCAAAAGTATGCAGGATACTCTGGGGAGGCAATAGTTGTCTGGTTGTATTGCAAAACCTAAAAAAAAAATTAAATTTCAGAGATTGTTTCAATAAATAAGCCTCCCCTGCTTCTGTTGTTTGATCTGAAAACTTAATGGTTTAAAATGTTCTTAAATTCTTTCCTTCTGTATGAATTTTCCTCTCTCCCCAACCCCCGAGTGCCAGAACAAAGCCTACCCCAGAGCAGGAGCACAAGGAATGGTCCAATGCTCAGGCAGGCCAGGCCAGGCACCAACAAGAATTTAATGCAAACACACAGGAACTATTTACATGAATTGCAAATGTCCTCCGGGAAATAACATGATTAAATTTACTTTAGTTTTCAACTGTGTCATATTATTGAATCAACTCCCTGTCTCATATATAAATAAGAATTCAGGTGGTGGGAATAGAACAAAACTTCTTCTCTGCGAGTTTTTGACAAACACCCCAGCCACCCAATCTCCAGCTTAATACCATGACAGATGATAATTAAAACTTTCCAGCCTCATTCTTCCACACTGTATGGCACTCACTATGAGGATTTCTGACCCACAAATGAAACAGTTTCTATCAGTTTACAGGCTTGATTTCCTCATGAAATAAAATATAAGTGGCTTTTGTTGTTGTTGTTGTTGGTTGGTTTGGAAAGTCACTAGAATAGATTAATAAAATTGAGAGGAAAAAAAAAGGGGTTTAGCACCGGTAGAAAAATTACACTGTAAAGTACTCCAGATATTTTATCTGAGCATCAGTTGATAATGATTTTTCTGGAAAGACTTAAAAACATTACAATTTAATTTGATAGAGATAATTTCTTTGCCAGAAACAAATACATTTTTTAAAAAACAAAAACCCAGTGATTCAAAACTCATTGTTTTTCTTTAAGATGACAGCACTTTTGTCTCCAACATAATGACTTAATTTATTGCCACATGGTTTATAAGCAGCCAACTCATCCCTTTTCTGTTGTAATTATCTGCTCCACTCATTGTCATATGACTGTCTGCTTCTGGGCCCTAAAGCAGCTGGGATTACTTATGGGTTTTTGCCTGTAATGACTCGATTCTGATCCTGAAATATAAGTATGTAAACATATACATTTGAATCATTTATCTGATTAATGAGGTAAAGGTCAATTTTACATCATGTACCACAAAACTATGCTGTCTGTGTCTGAAAGATTAACATAAATAGGGAAAAGGTGAAAAAAGGAAAAGGAAACACAAACAGATGAGCTGTCTGTCTTCAGATCTACAGCTTCACTGTTTGTTCAACAGAGGAAAATTAAAATATTACCCCAAGCACAGATTCCACTGAAAACCAAGTAACCAGTAACTAAATTTCTTGTTTATACCTAATAATAATTCACATGCCCATTGTTTGATAGCTACAGCTCCACAAATAAGCTGGATCACCAGTGCTAAGGTGCATTTCATCTTCACTTTCACTTAGTGCCAGGTGGACAATGGACAGGTTTTCTGCTGCTGTTCTAGGCTTCAGCCAAGTAAGCAAGTGACTAAAATATTATTATTTTAAAATATATTCCCCTGCAGCCAAGAACTGTTGTCACTTACACAACTTTAATGGTCATCAGAGCAATAATAGTGATTAACTGTAAAAGTGAGTAGAATTATGGCCCTTTCTCAGTAAAGATGATCTCAGACACAGGACAACTTGTTATAACAATCAGTGTCATCACTATCTTCAGAGATCCTGAAGAAGTTAAGCCAATAGGAAGACATCATTAAAAAACTTCAGCTCTTATTTAATTCCAGATGGACAAATTTAAGCCATAAAAGTGGTCTTCTTTCTTTGAAACTCTTCTGCCATGAGCTGTGGGATCAGATTTGGCCTATATATCCATAGTCCAAAGCTGATGTTGTGACTGTGATCTCCAGTATTTTAACTAGGTAAAAGCTGTGTGTTTACACGTGTTAGCCATGATTTCCCTGCTGTGCTCTGCAGTCCAAGCTGGGCTGTGCTCAGTAGCCACAGAGGAGGCAATCAGCCCCCTGGTCCCTGCTGGAGACATCGATGCCTTGCTCTGCAATCTCCTTGAGGAAGATGTTCAGCTGCTCTGCCTGAGCCTCAGGGAAGGCAAGGGTGTGCACACAGGTGCTGTTGCTGGGGAAATA